GAAAATTATTACTGAAGTGACTCCACGTTGGCATGCAAATTTCTACCATTTAATAGTGTATATGCTTCTCTATGCCTTTTTTTTTTCTTCGGTATGTATTTATTTATTTCGCCTTTTGAAAGCGCTCTTATATATATTCACATTATATTACTTCAAAAATTTTGCTCAATTTTTCGAATTCACCTACAGTTATTAGTATTCATGTATAGATGCGCCTGATAGTTATTATTAGATGATCATTATATTCTTCATTTTGATAGTAGTACTAATGTAAGAAAATCGTCCAATGATGAAAAACTTCGTCTTATACACTGCAAAATGTGTAAGCTCGAATCTTATCTCTGAACAAAAAAGAATTGCTGCGTGTTTATGTATCTTTAATGCATGTGCTTCGTCTTTTTTGCAATTGTTAAATTATCTTCAATGCACAGACGTGAATTCTCTACAAAAGCATTCATACGTCTTCGCATGCAGTTGAAATATTAAGCGTGCACATGTGCAAAATTTCATACATGTAAACAGAAATATAGTTTACTTTGTGACACGTTCATACGTATGGCATGCCATAACGATTCACGTATGTACACGTATTTTATAAGTTTTAACGTTTGACTGGCTTATACTATGCTTTTGGTTTTTACTCGTTAACATTGAGGTAAAAAGTTGGAGTAAAGTACAGATGCAGAGTATGCATATGTGTATGTCGTAAATATCATCTGTATCATAAAGTACAGGAAAAGAAAAAAAAATGAATCATACTATAACGTATTTCAATTTCTATATATAGTCTTTGATTTATTCGACTGTTAGTTAATTTTATTTATTGATTTTTAAATTTATTAATAAGCCTTATTCATCATTAATTGACGATTGAAGTTATATAGTGATTAATCACTCTATTAACTGATTTCATTATTATTTAACTAACTAATCAACTATTTTTTATCTGTTGTTTTTTATTTCTAATTGAAGCTGCTGGTTATGGTTTTGGTTTTATAAGTGGAACATTTGCTATTGTTAATGTATTGAGTGACATGACTGGTCCAGGTACTATTGGAATATTTGGACATTCACAAGATTTTTTTATTGCTACAGGTTAATTGATATTTGAGAATCTATTAAATTGAATACTTTTTCTATTCTTTATTTAGCGTTTCTGACATTAGCTATTATTCTTTTAAATACATTTTGGGGTGTCGTATTTTTTACATCAATAGATAAAGGTGGTATTCATCAATATCTTGGTCCAACAGTTGTTGTTTTAACACATATGCTTTTTTCTTGTCTTGTATGTATATGAATTTTTCAAATGATTAATCTTGAATGAATATTATATTTTTTAAAGACTTTATTTAATCGAACAACAAGACCAATTTATTCTATTTCAATTATAACTGGTTATGTCATTTTATGTGGAATGATTGTTTATGCATTATTTTTACGTGGATTTAATATTCGTCAAAGATTAAATCGACAATGAAGATTTATTGGACATTTGTTATTTGTTGTATAGTTCTTTTTTTTTTGAGTCATGTTTGTTGTTGTACAGATAGAAGAGCGTAATAATGCGCAGATAAACGAAGAGAAATGAATGTAATAAAAAAAAAGTGAGCATAGCATCGCAATACTTTTTTAAGTAAAAACGATATGTTGTTTGATTGTTGTAGAAGATTGAATATAATCTCAAAATATTGTATCGTTTTTTGTTTTAGTTCATAATATACACAAAATGTCATCATCAACGGCACCGAAAAAGATTACTATTGTTGGTTCTGGTAATTGGGGAAGTACCATGTAAGTTTTATTTTCATTTTTGATTACAAAAATTTTGATATTTTCTCTAAAAAAAGTGCTATACATATTGGTGAAAAAGTTCGTGAATTAAAAAATCAATATGATGAAAAAATTATAATGTGGTGTAAAGAAGAAACATTAGAGGATGGAAGTAAACTAACTGAAGTTATTAATAAACAACATGAAAATACTAAATATTTACCAAATGAAAAAATTCCTGATAATGTTATTGCTCTACCTGATCTTTCTGAATCAGTTAAAGATGCTGATATACTTATATTTGTTATACCTCATCAATTTGTTAAAAAAACTTGTGATGAATTAAAAAATAAAATAAAACCAACTGCATTTGCATTAACATTAATTAAAGTTAGAAATAGAAAATGATAAATTAATTTGAAAAATTTTTTCTTTAGGGATTCTATATTGATGAACAAACAAATGATCTTTTATTAGTTTCACAAGTAATTAAAAAGACATTAAATATTCCTTGTCTTTGTATGATGGGAGGTTTGTTAAATATTATTTAGATTTTTTTCTTATTTGAATATTTTATTTTTAATTTGTCAGCTAATATTGCTCATGAAGTAGCTGGAAAAGTATTTTGTGAAGCAACAGTTGGTTCACGTGATGAAGAACATAGTGAAATAGTTCGACAATTAATTGATACACCTGTTTTTCGTTTGCGTTTTTATCCTGATGTCGAAATTATTGAAATACTTGGGGGTGTAAAAAATGTCATCGCTATGTGTGCTGGTTTTGCTGATGGTTTAAAAGCTGGTTTTAATACTCGAGCTGCTGTATGTTGATTGATTTTACGGTTTTTTTGTTGTTCATTTACTTGTATAAAACAATACGTTTGTTTTTGTTTCAAGGTTCTTCGATTAGGTTTTCGAGAAATGGTTAATTTTTGTCGTCTACATGAAAAAGAATCAACACCAGAAATTTATTTAGAATCATGTGGTTTTGCTGATTTAATTGCGTCAGCATTAGGTGGAAGAAATTATAATGGAGCAAAAAAAATGGCTGAAACAAATAAATCATTAAAAGAAATTGAAAAAGAAGATCTTAATGGACAATCGTTGCAAGGTCCTGGAACAGCTAAAGAAGTTTATCGTTTTCTTGAAGCCAGAAATTTATTAGATCAATTTCCTATGTTTCGTGATGCTTATCTTATTTGTGAACAAAAAATTGAACCAAAAAAATTATTAGAAAATCTAACTAATCACCCTGAATTTCATCGAAAATAACTATTATTAAATTTAATATTTATTTATTTAATCATGCTGAAAATCACTTTGTTTTATAGTGGTGCTCTGGGATCTCTTTTCCATCTCAACATTTGTAGTAAAAACTAATCAGCTTTGTATAGTATACTAACATTTAAATAAAAGCAAATAAATAAAGTCGAAAAATGAATAAAAAAAAATAAAATCAAAAAGCTTGCCAGAGTAGCTCCTTTGGGACGGAAATGTGGAACTCATATGCGTCCTTTAGCCTCATTGTACTAATACAAAATACGTAATGTGAAAAACCTCTAATAGACTTTAATTGCTTTGCATGAATAATCGATCAGCAAAGAAACAATTTTTCTCATTTATTTGTGCAGACCGAATAGATATTTTTTTTTTCTTTACTATTATCCTATATTTTTTTTGCTTTGTTGCTATTCGATCATTACTATTGTTTTTCTTATAATGTATTTCTAGATTTAATATTATTCTTATTCTAAGTATTGAAGTAACTTGCAAATAATCCTGCTCTACATGTGCATTATGTCTACTAGTCAGTTGTTTTCCATAAGTAGCCATACAAGAATAAAATTGTTTTAAATGCCACAAAACATCCACTGATTTAGGACTGATTTTTTTATCTTCCTGGTTCTAAAATCTAATCAATTTTGCTAGGTATAAGTTTGCTTGTTGCTGATGATGCTAGAATCGAAGGCAATCGCGGTGCTAAACAACATAATTGTGGATGCATACACGAAAACGTTTTCTATGATGATAATACATGCTTAGCTTTCTGATAATTCATTTTCATCTTCATGTATTCGACGGCTGTGCAATATTTTCCAAAACCCGGAAAATTGTTCCATTTTTAGTAGAAAAGCTTAATCCTACAAAAAGTCAAGCAAAAACGCTTATTAGAAAACAGCATCGTTTACATCAGATAATTCGCATTACAGTACATTGTCTCATAAATCATGAAAATTATCTATTGTTATATGCAGCTACTATAGATCCCTTTTTGGGGGATGGAGAAAGAATCAAGAAGGTCTTTACAATTATTCATATAGCTATACATGTACATACTTGTATCGCAAAACACAGTAAATTGTCAAATCATGATCGACTCGGTTGTCATTTCTGTACTTATAAATAAATAGTAGTATGAAAGAGTAAGAACAATTGAAAAGTCAAAATCTCACTTATAGTCGGTTCAGATTCGAATATGATTTCATATCCGAATCCGAACATATATTTTTTTGTACCTGACCCAAGAATCTATGCTTCTGACTGAGCCAAGTGCTGAGTAACCGACCAGGTTGCAAGACACCAATTAGAATACGTCTTTATATGGTGACGTGTTCCAGCATGTCCATGGAGTCAGTGTCTATTAGCTGCACTGAGTTGGCGGTCAGTAGACTGAAACTACATATGTCTATGCATATCTTATTTGACAGATTGAGAACAAAGTTTTACAAACAAAAAAAGAAACTAATATCACACATTATTCAATTCAAGATTTTCATTTTTATATACAGAATGTTTCAAAAGTAGCCATAAATATCTTTGAATTAAATCAATTGATATAATTGTTTGTTTTTAAACTATAATCTTTCAAGTTCTTTTTTTGCATGAAATTTTTTCACATGTATTAAAACTGATCAGCATGCACTGAAATATAAATTCAGTGTTGTCAAAATATTAGCAAAAAAAACCAGCATTCTGTTACTTTTCTAAGCAGAGACTTTTTGCAAGGAATTAAATGAAATATTCCTTTTCAATGTACATTTTTCTCATTTTCTATGAAAATCAAGCTCTTTATTATTCTTAGAATAGATCATTGTTTGTCATTATTTGAAATGATCAATTAACGTTAGATATACTTGTTCCTATTGTTGACAAGGATTCTCACTGAATTCTATAGGATATGCATTAATATCATCGACAAGGACAACATTTATTTAAACGAGAAAAAAATCATAAACGTGGAGGTTTGTAAAATGATAATGAATTAATATGAGGTACTTTTTTTACTATAATAATGACAATATATACGATAGTCGTGATAATAATAATTAACAGTATAATAGCAAGTGCAGAAGCTACAATAGAATGGTTTGGTCGTTGATGAGAACTTGTTCGTATTTCTGGATGAATATTAATTAAAACCTAAATAAATCATTACATTATATTTTTATATTTATCAAAGCAAATTTTTCCTAACATGTTTTCTGTTTGATCTTTCTAAATTATTTGCACGAACAATTAAATTACTATGTATTAATGTTTGATCAATGATGTTGGTTTTAGACTTGTCAATCATATTCTCTCGTTTAACATGTTGTTCATTCTTTGTTAATATTTGAGCTGACGTTGTATCAGGCTAGATATACAAATTAAAAAAAAACGATAAAAACAATATAAATGAATTTGTAGATAGACAACGAGTATGTCATAATGGTCCGGATTAAATATAAATACAATTTTTCTCTCATGTAAATTTATACAATATATTCAATCGTATACTAATAAATAGAGAATTTAAAATTTTACAAAAATAAAAATTTCACTTTTAAAAAGAAAACTTCTCTTATGTACGATGATTCCAATATTTACATATCTTGTATATTCCTACTGCGACACAATTTTTCTTGTGCTTGCCAAAAGTATACAGGATCTTGAAAGCAAAGAATTCTATATTAAAAGATAGAGAATTTTGTCATTTACTTGACTGTTCTACTTTTTGTATATCCAAGCTTTACTAAGGAGTTGAAAATTTCTTGGAAATATTCTCTATGGTGATTTTGGGAGAATTTTTTAAATAATGAGGCTCTTCTTTTGAGTTACAATTCAGTTGTGAAATTCTTATTTGTACACCAAAAAAGTGCAGCATTTCGTTTTCTAACAGATTATGTGACTGGTGAATCGCAACCAAACATGTTTTCTTCAAAATTCACAAAGAAAAACAATCAAGTCCTAAAATAGATATAACATTATGACTTTTTTTTCATTTATCGTGTCCTGAATGTTTACATGATACTGTTGTTTAAATTCTTAAAAGATAGACGATTTCATCAAGAATATTTTGATTATTTTCAGGAATCTAGTCAATTTTTTTACTTGCGGTATCACTTTGTTTTTTTTTTCGTTTAATTTTAGTTTTGCATTAGGGATATACAATGTACCTTAGTGTGTTGACATGTTCTGTATAAAATTGAAGTACGTAGTTTTATAGAGGTTGAACTTCTACCTTTTTTGTGAAACATGATCTAAAGAAACTATGGAAGTATAGGTGTAGATATTTGGAAGCGTTCCCCCTCTTCTCACAGGTTGCGGTAGAAGCCTTAGCAACGCTTGCCTCTCCTTGCGGCACAGAAGTTGTTTTACGATTACATACTATATATAAATGGCGTCTCGTTATAATATATGACCTACTTCCTTATTTCATTTCTGAAGGATTAAGTAAAAGGAGATGATATAGAAATGTGTCCCAAAACAAATACAATTAAACTAGTTCTCTGTAATTTGTCTGAGCAGCTAGATTCTGTTTGACAGTTCAATCCATTAGGAATTCCGCTAACAACTTTTGATGTATTTGTGAGTGGTCTATGTGAACAGTAAATGAATAAGAAATTGCATTTACAAGTAGTCCAATTAATAATAACCCATTCGTTACTCACATCTACGACTGATTGAGATAATTCATTGTTTAGATAACGTGATGACGGAGAAGTGTTAGATTCGATTGATGACGATTCGCAAGACGTTTTGTAAAGAAATGAATGTTTCTTCTAAAAAATTTAATGAGTAGTTTATACCAAATGATCTAGTTTCTTTTACGAATCTATTTTGATTATCATCGTTATCTTCTTGAAAATCTTTTGTAATGTCAAAGGTTTGATTTGAAACATCTCGTACAAATGATGATTTCTGTTCACTGCTACTTGATTTATTCTATAAATGACAACAAAGAATAATATCTCAAATGATGTCTGAAAGTAAAATTATTCTTACATGATTAATGATATTCATGTTCGCATAATACATTTATTAAATCTTTATTTTACAGAATCATAAATGAAAAGGTCTATAAATCTGAAGGATAGAAGCTCACAACGATACAAAAACGATTTTTTTCTTTTTGTTATTCTACTGACTGAATAATATTATCTTTCTGCTTCTACTTGTATTTGTGATCAGGAATTGTGTGTTTAAAAAGAAAAAATATTTCTATAAAATCCATGATAATTTTCCACATAAGAATTAATACTAGTGACAACTACTGACAGGAAATAAAAATAGAGAATAAAAATATAATTGCTAACGTTGTACTAATAATAGCATTGATGTCTGTAATTAAATAATTACAGATGACAGATCTGGCTTTCCAACATTATAGAACAATATGTTGTTTCTTTGAACTTAAATACAATGAGTTACTGGATTATACTGAAAGTTTGAGATAATTTTTTTTTCTAGTAAATTGTATATTTATTAAAAAAGTCATTCAAAAACCGCAGAAACATGTTAATGTTCAATTACCAAATCTTCTTATTTAATAATAAAATCATTTAGATTTGAACATATATAGAAAAATTTATTTGTATGTATAAAAAAAGATGCACACATTTTTAGACCGTTTTTGACATCCGTACTGTTAAGAAAGAACTCGAATTCAAGTTAGAGTCATAAGGAATCAAGTTTTATAAGTTTGATTTCGGAAAACTTCGAAAATTTTTTTGACTGGTGTATACAGTGACTCCCAAAATCAATCAAATAAATTTAATTTCAATTTTTTCCGTAATAATAATTTGTCTGAAGAGTCCCAAGTGTGCCTTGAATAGAGAGAATTGTTTCTAAAAAACGATTTCAGAGAAAATTTTCATAATAGTCCCACAAATTCAAAATCTTTAGAAAGCTCAAAACCTATTTTTTTATTCCTAGGACCTGGAAATAAAAGTTTCTTTTGATTATACGAAGTGATAGAAGAATTGATTCTCTACAGAATGGCACATCTCGGCGTTCTTCATGACATTTTCTGAGTGAATTACATCAATTTTATGAGAGCTCCAAAAGTCTGTTTTATCCTGTTTTTCCTTAGGAAATTATGAAAAAAATTATTTTTGGACATTTGAGAATGTTATGAAAATTTTATTTCCCTCAAATCCTTGTTGAAAATAATTTTCTCTATCCAAGCCACTATTGGAATTTTTCATGCGAGTTATTACTACGAAAAAAAATCGAAAGTATATCTGTATAATCAATTTTTGGACGGATTGTATACTTCTTCTTGTGTACCTTATTAATGAGAATTTCTCTCTACTATTTTTTGTCTGAAAACTTATTTATGAATCTATTTATTAATGTATTTTTGTTCGTTACTTAATATATGAAGTATAAACTTGCTGCTGTGTAAGAGTGAAAATACTTGACTGTTGTAGTGATGGAACTTCAACATTTATTCCAAAATTATTCTTCATAATCACTTCGATAGAGTCAGATTTTGAAGTTCGATATAAGGGTCTACGTCAAATAGATTACACAATACATTGATGATCTCAATAGAAAGTAATTTATGAGTTACTATTCCAAACTCGATCCTTATAAATTTATACTTCAATAAACATGCAAGAACTAGAAGAACGAAAGAGAAAAGGAAACCAATAAAAGAATCTTTTCGATATATTTGCAATCATTCATCATTTTCTTATATTGTTAATAAAGCTAAGGAAAATAAATGTAAATAGTATTCAAATATCTGATAACATTCTTTCTTTATTTCTGCTGAAAATAATGCTATTTTAATTTCTTCGTCCTCTTGTCTTTCAAATAATCTTCTTCCTGATCTATTTGATGGATATTGATATGTTATGTTTATAAATTGAACTATGCCTAGCATAATTTTGACATCGCATGACGATCAACAGAATTCTGTTCCATATTATTCTATCACGAGAGAATATATTTACGTGTTCTACTTAGAAACGATATGAGATAAAGTCTATCTTCTAGAGAATTTTCGCGGATCACAAATATCAATATCTTACTTGCCATGGATAAAATCTTTAAAAAATCCAATAAGCACATAATGTAATTCGTCTGTGAAGCGAGTGTTTTCATGACAAATCACATATCTCAGAATTAACTACAAAATGTCACATTTTGTAAAGGATTCATTTCTGATCAATTTTGTAAAAAAAACGTTTTCGACTTGATTGAAAAACAACAGAGATAAAATACAACTATTAAAATAACCACAAACGTACTTACGCTTCAGTATCAGTAATCTATCTTTGCTATTTTTCAATCGAATTGAAAAATTATTTTTATAAAACTGATTAGAAGAGAATTCTCTACAAAGTACAATAGTTTGTAGCCAATTCTGTGATACTTCATTTCTTATGAAAATACTAGGCTCACAGAAAAGTTGTATTATATATTGTCGTTTGGATTATTTAAAGGCTTGATCGGTGGCACCCAAGATATCAACATATGTCGTCAACAAAAATTTCTCTACAAGATAGACTAGATTTCATATAATTTCTAGATAAAACATTTATATATGTTTCCTCAAAATATAAGAAAGAACAATCTGCAGATAAAAGTATCCTTTTGAGAGTCTTTGCTAGATAAAATCAACAAAAATATTATCAAATGGGATCAAATATAATTTCTAGTTAAAAAAACGCTATCAAATAGTATAAAATGTATGGCATTACACATAGATCCTGATCAGAACAGAACACATGATGAAAAGATAAGCCGTCCAGAGATGATATTCAGCGACGAGTCTATGATTTTGAGGTCGAAGGTTAATGTAGCAGTATTCAGATTTTTACGGAAAAAGAGACTTTGGTAATTCCCTTTATTAGACGTCTAAACATCATACCTCAAGAAAAATAATTTCGAAATGGAAGGAAAGTCACTCTCAGTGCCGCCCTCTAAAATTGACAATGGCTCTGTCCTGCTCTGCTGGATAACTGATAACGTGACGATGCAGACCACACAAGTTGGTCCTGTATTTTTATATGAATTTTTTTCTTTAAAGTTCTTCAATCGTACTTATCGTTTTCAATTATGTTCGACACTTACTATAAGTTGTTGGTGCCACTAATGAAATGGTAAATAGAGCTAATTTTAACATTAGTAGATTAATGAATATGCGTTTAGCAGATATTCCTTCGTGAATGCAAAAGAACATTGTAAGCAATTTGTAAGAGATCCCTCTCACTTTTGTCAAGTCATCCATCCCTTATACACCAATTTATGGTTATTGAAAGAAACAAGCAAATCGATGTCCGTTTGAGAGAAAAACTTTTGAAAGATTATATTTGAATTTTCATGATGTTTGATTGTTTCTTTCTTGTCACATTAACTATTCTGGACCATTTCAAGCTGATGATAAGCAAAACAAAAACATCTTACAACTAAATTGTCACATACTGATAGTATTTGCAATTTTCTTTCATCTCAATGAACCACAAATAATATAGAGAAAAATTTTAAATTTCTTCAAGATATTTTATATAACTAACGACAACTGTTGAGATCATTCTTTGTATGAAACATATAAAATCGATATAATATGGACTGACGAACTTTAATATCAAGGCCCATTTCAATACAGGTTGATTTCATACAACCATTGAAAAGTCAGCAAGCTGCCTATTAAATTCTAAAGTTAACTTCAACATAGAATAAAAGGATACTCTGTTGTATCAACGTACAATTTCAAAGTTAGTTTGAAAGAGATTTTTTTCTTCTTAACTTGCTCACAGGCATCGAATTTCTTATATATGTTGACTTAGATGATAGACTTATCCGACTGATAATGACATCTATCATGATCTAATTTTCATCCATTGCACTTACGGTCAGTTTGTAGAACAAAGATTGAACAAAACAAAATCAACAGGGTGACAACTATCGTTTGATTTTCTAAATAATTCAATGATATTAACCGTCTAAGACATTTTAGAAATTTCTTTTTGAATTTCATATGTATTATTTCATCATTGGTTTCTTTTTAAAAAATAAATTCTCTTTATCTATTTTTGTCTTATCATAAAACAAAAACATATAACATAAATATTTTTTTAAAGTTTAAACTTCATGAAATTTTCATGAAACTTTTCAGTAAGCCATTGTAAAGTTATTTGTTTTGTTTGTATAATTTTTAGATATTATATTTCCATCGATAATGTCAGATAATAGTGACGGTTATAGTCCATCAAAAACACGTGCATCTAAAAGATCACGTTCGGTAAATAAAAAAATTAATATCATCAATTATTTCATTCATTATTTTTATTGTATGATTTTAGCCTGATCATTCACCAATCCATGGACGAAAATCTAAATTATCTAAAATTGAAGTAAGCATTTATTTTTTTTAATTGAAATTACAAAAGAAATATACTTACATATAACATTAACAGAAGATTTTATTTTTAAAACAAACGAAAGTTTTCTTTTTTTTTCTATTCAGGTTTTTATATGATAAGTTCGTTTGAGTATGTTTATTGATATCGGAAAATATTACGTAGAATTTAGAGTTTAGTCAATATATATAGTGAAAAATGTTGGTAGCTTTTACCTAAACTTGGTTGAAAAAAAAATTTTGAAAAATTAGGTGGAGAATTCTGAAGATTTTCTCGTTTAACAAATTAAAAAACCTCAAGCAGCTAAATTTGAATCAAATGTCTATGGTTAAAAAAGAAAAACTATGAAAGACAAGTAAAAATATTTTCAAACATTAGCTTCTCGGCCTTCAATAGAAGTCTTTCTTGCACTCTCGTAACTTATTTTTTGCTACGATTCAAGACAAATCATTGAGAAGATCGAATACGATAATAAAATAATTATAATACTGATTATATAAATGTCTATTCGAAATCCTACCTATGTTTTTCGTCTGTTTTCTGCTTCGATGTAGTTGTTAGCGTGAGTTCAGATGAAGAGTACACCGATGCCGAGACTCCTTTTTTCATATTATAGTGTTACAAAGAAGAATTAATAAAATGGTACTATGAGTATTCGTTTATAAA